AATAGTGAACCTCTTAGATTGGTGGCCACATTGCAAAATGACCGACAGAATTTAATCAGCACTCAGGACAAGACAGCATGAAAAAGGTTCACTATGTTACGGTTCAATTTGCCACACATCATATCAGTGAATGAAGCAAGAATGCACTAAAATGAAGTATAGAAAACAAAGAAGAAGGCAGTCAAAGTGGTAAGGGAAGTCACGGACAGAGAAAAAAGAGGAATAAAATAATGATGAAATCCGGTACAACGACTATGATGAAGATAACGCGTGCATACATCTACGTCATGTCACCTAGAGTCACTAACCATTGGTTTCTCTTGTCACGAGGACCTCATATACGAAGTCTACATTTGCCTAAACGGTTCACATCCATAATCACAGACATCATGTCGTGTATTATTCTGGCCACACCTAACCTTTCTATAGCCTGAACCTACTTCAGCCAACATTTTGCGACAAAGAAGATAGTGGCTAGGCGTGACTGCGTAACATATTTCCCAACCATCTTAATCAATAAAAATTCATAACCTCATCGAAGAACTTTCCTCTTCTGTCTAAAACCTTAGGGCCCAACTTTGATGTTCCTGATGCGATGATATCATAACATACAGTCTAAGCTACAAAGATCATAATATTAAGACAAGACGCCTATGATGAATCTCAATGAAAGAAATGTTTTGGAATACATTTTCTGATATTTTAAATGGTATATGAATTCAGTGGAGTTTTGGTGACTGTAATCCGTCAAGAATATAACAGAATGTAACCTACTGAAATGCCTATTAGGCTGGAATTAGAAATCCACTAGAATAAACCACATCTAACATAGTAAAAATGTCATGTCCTTGGCAGTCTGTTGGATAACTGAAATTCTTGTGCTTAGTAATAACAACCCTAATGAATATTAGAAAATTCGGTGTTGATCGATGAAATTAAGTATTACAGTGTCAATGAATCAGTCATTTTTACATTGGAAACATTCAAACATCTTCACTATTGATGGTTTAAAAAAATGTACATACTCATCCCAGTGGTTTCATTTGTAACTGTAACACAAGGCGATGAAGGTTCGATTATCTGGAGAGAAACTAGTTTGCAGTATGGTCGTAGATAGGCTTTGTTGATCCAAGCTAACAACCGTGAAATCTAGGCACCCAGAACATTCTGTCAATTACCTCCAAGCAGCAAACACATTACGTGTTAGGAATGCCTAGTCTGTAAGAAAAACTAACTTATATGTTTATATTATGATTGCGAAATTTAAACCTTATTTTCGCGCCATGCTATGTTACTTATTTTTACCGCAGTTTAAGATACTAAACGCTGATTGGTCCATTTCACACTTTTAATATGCTGTTTTATCTTCCCTGGGCGAAGTCATCTAAGGATATATAAACGACTGAGTTTTCAGCTATCATGATTCGGTCGAGGTGAATATACTTTCAATCCCATCGTCTTCTTCTGGTGTCAGCTGAATATCAAGCTGAGAAGTCATTGTTCTATCTTTAATTGTATCACGTCGGAGTATTGTATCGTTACACATATCGCAGATTATAACACAACGTGTTTTATCAACACAGATTCATCCATAAGTAGGAACCTTCATCATAATGTCATATATGATTTTGGACATTGCGAATTCCCATTTACTATAACTTCGATAAAGCTATCAGCACTAAGCTGCGAAATATCAGTATAGATATATACTTGTTTCATTTTTTTTTCATTTACTAAGAAATGGCAGTGTTTATTTTCCCGAGAGGATCTAACGCATAACACTTGACTGATAGCTAACTTCATACGCCAGATTCAACGACTCAAAACTCGAACGAAATGATGAAGGAGAATGGACTGGATGGGAGAGTTTATTACCGGTGAGAAAAATAAGTCAATTAGCCGAAAAACACGTATATATGTACATGACATATGACCTTGTCAGAATTTGAAACATTAACACAGTAAAAGCCAACATTAGCCAATCATCGAGTTACCTTGAGAATAAGGACGAGGGGGGGGATGAACTAATGGTCATGCCGTAAAATTGCCACAAACGGATAGTTTAAAAATATTTAGATCAATAAATAATGTTTTATGCAAATTTAGGGCCTTTCAAACTTTATACCGAATAAATAACATCAAATTGTTCCCTTTCAATGTTTATTTTAATCTGTCTTGTAAAAGTAACATGTCCTTTCAAACGCTTTTAAAATGTTTTCAACTAACGAATTAACAAGTAGAAGAGAAAAAAAATGTCACAGTAGAGGGAAAGAGATTTGTAAATAAACAAAAATGCCTTTCTAGGGTATATAGAGCGAATTGAAGATTAATGTACAGGCTGAATGAACCACCACCACCACCATCGTCAGCAGTAGAAGCAACCTTAGGCTCATTTTCCCATTCATTCCCGGTTCCATAAAAGAAGTTGACTTAACAGTAACTGGATGCTTTACATTATCGTCTTTGATACTGTTATTATTAATACTATGTAGATGGAATAATTATTTCAATTTGGAGGTTTGTAGAGATTTTATTGACTTCAAAGTGGTATTCATCATGAATTGATATCAATAAGAGAACTAATGAAAATCTGAGAGTACTGAAAAAGTATTTCGTCCAACAGTAGTGCATATTCATGACCTCCAACAGAGTTCGAACCCAAGATCTTTATGTTTCCTGGTGAGTACGTTGTCACAGATCGATTGGATTGGAATTCAATGGTCAGCCAGTTTGCAATACAGCGTGACTTTCATTCAATACCATCGTTGAGGAGTCCTATGTACGAGGACTGTTCTACCAACCGATGTCAGTCCATAATGAATACTAACTTGAAAAATCACTAAATCCCAATAAACCCCAAAAATTAAATTCATTTAGTGCTCATTGGTGAATAACTTCAAGAGGTGATTCCTGAAGTTACAATGAGAAGTCGTGACTGGTCGGACAAACCTGGTGGACGTGAAGACAAATACTCAACGATGACATTAGGTGGTAGTCATGCTCTGTCGCGAACTGACAGAAGTTGGAAATATGGACCATTGGAATCCGACCCAGTGGCTCAGTAGTAACGTGCTAGCCATGGAACCTGAAGGTCGTGGGGTCGTGGGTGCGCACTGCTGAGTCCCATACTAGGGCGAAACAGCTGTCCATTGCTCAAAGGTTTCCAATGTCCTTCTAATTGATGTCAGTCCATAATGAATACCAATTTGAGAAACATTACTAAAAAACAATCCACTTAAATATTTCTTTCTTGAATTTCATTAGAATTGAATGACATCGAATACAACGTCAGAGCATAAAGTCAAAAATCCTTCCGGGTTGGTATGCATTTACAACCTCAATAAAGCTTTAGTATCTCATTAATATAGCAGTGAAACCCGAGCAATTTGGAATATTTCAATTCCATCTTACTCTGTTTATCATATGTATGTCATATAGTCAAACGCCGACGAACCTGAAGTTTCTTGGTTCAGTCCCAGGCAGGGTCATCGTATGCACTGCTGAAAAGTCCTACACTGGGACGAAACAGCTGTTCAATGAATCCAATTTTTCAATGGTTCTCTAAATGATAAGTACCAATTTAGAATTCTTTGAGGTAACCGAATATTTGACTAATCTATACACTAGAATCAGAATGAAGAACTGACAGAAGAATCTATCAACTATACAAAATATTCTGACTAAACTGTCCTCCGAACATCCTGAACTATAAATATTCGCCATAATACAAAAAGTCGAAATTTCAATACTAATGCCAAGTCAGTGCTTCTAAGTGATGGTTGAGAGACTTGGTGCATTACGAAAAGCATTCCCAACAAACTACACACATTCATCAACAACTGCCTACACTGGCTCCTCACTGAAGATCAGATGGCCAGAAAGGATAAGCAGCATGCAACTCTAGCTGGCAAAGAACCAACCGAGAACCCATCACTCAACAAATATGCACTGGAAGGAAGTGGAGATGGATTGGGCATACACTGAAAAGACCATTCGGTGACATCACGTACCACGCCAGGCATTCGAGTGAAACTTGCGTGGGTGTCCCAGCTGAGGGTGACATGGAGGAGATCATATGAGGAAGAAATGAGAGCTTGTGGACAGTTGTGAAGCCAGGTTGAAGAGACTGCAGAGAAGAGAGTGGAATGGAGACGTGCTATTGAAGCCCTATGTTCCAGAAGGTACCCTAAGGACAAGTAATAATAATAATAATAATGCATAAAGTGTTAGGTCAAAAATTGAATGTCCTAAAAATAAATCAATAAATGACTGAAATGATACTAGTTCATTAGTATCGGAGTCAAACTTTAGCGTTGTGGTAAATTATAATTCCATTTTAGTCTATTGATTCGGGATGTGAAATTCATCATCTATATTCATATCAGTTAGCTTTACAACTTTGAGATATAGTTTATGCAGATTCAATTATGTCTCCTTCTTTGTATATTTTTCATATATCTGGAATAAGTGCAGAATTATTTCCATTACTGTATATGTTTGGTGTTAATTCGATAAACAAAGATTCAATGAACAATGGTTGACGACTTAAATAGTTTGGAAAGGTATTGTGAATGCTAAACTATCATGTATCCTTCATACGCTATACTAGTAAAAGTTGGATTAAGATGAAAGATGGTTCAGAGTAGTTCAATCAAGATGTGGCACTATTCAATAAAGTCTCTGACTATTGGTTTGAAACATGTGGAAGGGTAAGGTAGTCTACTTGGTTAGGATCTATGAAATGATCCCAGTCGACTACTTTCACCTATATATATATATATATATATACACATATATATATATATATATATATATATATATATTTAACTGACATCTAGTATTTTCAAACAATTGGAAAAACTAAATTATTCTATTCAATTAAATCTATAAGGTCTTTTAGCCTATCAGTAACTTCAATAAAAGTATGCATAAATTAGTTATCAGTGGAACAGGAGAAAGAAAAGCACTAGAAATATAATTGACATTATTACTCAACTTACCCAGACAACCCATTTGAGAGATGATAGTTTGTCCATCCTCTGTAACAGTTACAAATTCTACTGTTTCAAGAATACCTTCATAACTTTCTAATAATTCTCTTTCTAAATCTTTATCCAATTCTATATCATTATCAACTTGATAATCATAACTATCTATAGTATGATTAGTATCATTTAATATTGGTTTATGTATATAAGGTTGAAATGTTTGTGAATGAATTTGTTGTACAATTGGTTTGATTATAGAATTATCAGATACTGTTGGTGTTGTTGTTGTTGTCAACGCTACTGTCGAATTCGATGGATTTATTGGCGTCAATCCATGTTTATTGTTACAATTTATCCAATTATCAAGTGTAGAATTACTTGGCCGAATTTTTAATTCATTATTATCATCTATGATACAAGTTCCAGTAATAGATGAAGATGAAAAAGGAAGCGTAACAACAGTACCATTAGTACTATTTGGAGGTAAATTGACAGTGGAATTCTCACAGGTAGAATTATTATTATTATTGGTTTTATTATTCAATCTTGTAGTATTTATATCCAAAATATGATTTTGTTGTCGATGTGATAATCCTGCTGATGATGATGATGATGATGATGATGATGAAGGGACTGATGTTGTTCTAGTCAAGATTGAATTTTTGGATAGAATAGCCTGTGAATCTGTTTGATTGTCACGATTAACACCAGAAAACTCTGTCTGTACACTCTTCATTAGACAACGAATTCCACCAATCATTAAATGAGCTGTCATAAATCCAGTATTATCACCCAACTTTATAATGTTTGTGTGTGTGTGTGTGTTATGTTCATTGTATAAAGGAGATTAGTGTATATACGTATGTGTGTGTGTATGTATGTATGTATGTATGAGAGAGGGTAGGTGTATATTAATGAACGGTATTTCGATTCATTCATTCATCCATCCAATCCAACCATACCATAACAGTAAACAGATATGAATGCACAAACATTCATTATATATAGCCAAACGTATAATTTTTGAGTAAATCCCATGGATAGAAAGTAGAGATTTTTGTTGCAAGCACATAGGAAACAAGAATGAATATACATTGTTATAAAGTTTGAAAAATCAATAATAAGTAGATTTATGAACAAAGCGAAAAAAATAAATAAATAAATCAACGGAAAACTATCTTTACTAACTCAAGTTTCATTTTACTATCTGATAATATAGACAATAAACTAACTTACTAAATAGAACGAAACGTTTATGTATCCCATATGCCACAGTTAGTCACTATTCATCATTATTATCAAACTACAATCCCCCATATACTAAATAAACTCGATCCAAACAACGAAAAATTACAAGTTATAGTATGTAAACTATACTATACCCATCAAGCAACAATTGGCTATCGCAACTAATTGGTGTGATGTAAAACACGCTGTGATGATTGAGGAGATTGATTCATCCCACGTTTGAGTCACAATGGCAAGAACATAATTCACTGAGAGGCAAGTATATCCAGCTGATGAACCCCAAGCAGGACGAAACGTGAATCCTATACTACATGAACACTACTTGAACCTAAAACTAGTCTTCACACACACACGCACACACACGATAAACTTAACTTGCCAACCTACCAACAACTGGAACAATCAATTAGATTTTTCTATTTCGACTGGGGAAGTTACTTTTTTCTCTCATAAAGTACGCAACTCTAGTTCGTTACTTCGGTATTTATGGTGCAGAATAGCTAGCAGTGGTATCCGAGAAGCGTATTACGTCCTATTTCGCATTCGTCAGTGATGTGGTCCCCGCTGGGACTCGAACTCGGGACGGATGGCTTCGAAGTCCACAGCGCTATCCACTAGACCAACGAGCCACAATAACCATTTCTTGTGCAACGACTATATTTTCAATATTGTTGCTTGTATTGTCCAGTCGTTGATTGGACCGAATTGATCGGTTTCTATTGGCATATGGGCTCCTGTGCGGATGTCTCGATATTGCCTGTGTTTCGAATCCTAGTGGGAACAACATCACTCACTGAGAGGCAGGTACATCCGACTGATGAGGCCAAAATAGGACGAAACACACATCCTAGATTCCACTGTTAGCCAATATCCATCAATAATATATAACCGAAACACAGGCAATATCGAGGCAATTCACACAGCAGCATATATGTCAATAGAGACCGGTCACTTCAATAGTTGTTAAGATGGCTTTCAGAGTCGCTCTATTTCATGATAACAGTGCACAACACGAATAGATGAATGATAAAAACGACTGAAAACCAATGATGACAATGCGTGGAGAAGGGGAAGGGCAAGGATATACAACAAGCATGGATAACTAAGCACTGAATGATTTTAGAGGTCACCGTAGAAACTGTTGAAGTAACCAATCAAGTTTCGGTTGGAACAGTTGTCTTTCATAAAAAGTAGAAATGTGACTGGTTAATTCAGTTGTTATTAAAGAGAGGTCTTTAAAGCCAGTAAACCATACTTAGTGTGTGTGGGCTAATGATACTATCTAGTTCACCAAACCTCAGTAAGTCGAGCAGGATTCGAACCGGTGATCTAATGGTTGAAAGTCATCTCAAAAAAAATGAATCACTGCTTCACTCATGAGATGGTAGTGAAAGCTTATAGCTCAGGATGACAATGAGAAATGTTTGATATTCTATGAGCTTTGAGTTTTCTACTCTGATGTTTCATCATCACCTGGTTGAAAGACTTCAACAGTACTTTAGAAAGAAGTGAAGCACCGAGAAAATCGAATAATTATCACCAATACAGACAGATAAAATCAGCATAGAACCTCGCATATAACTGCATTGGCTCAAGTTGGTACACTTCACGATAGTACACAAAGAACAGGTGAATAGAAAAAGATTGATATCAAAGCAAGCAAAGTTGTATGACAGAATAAACAACTTGAAGATAAAGGTTAGTGAGAAAATTCAAGCTTTAGAAGACATCAGATAGTGAATATATCTGCACCATTGCCACCAATTTCAAGTCATGGCACCAAGAGTCAGTTCTCAATCATTGGTTCCTTTCGTTTCATCTCGGTGATGGTAACTAGGCAGTCTATATCTCCCTTACACGGCTCAGGCAAATAGTAAGACTTCATCGACTGGTGTCACGTTTTGGGTCAGCCATCCTGAACCGTCTTCTGTCCTAATCAAACTTCTTCTAGCATGGCACATCGAAGTAGGCGGTGGTTTGGCATTCATAGTACCTTTCCAAACCATCTGAGTCGTCTACGGTTCACAATCTTACCAATCGACTTGCTTGTAATAGATCAAACAAAGCGGAATATACCCACATACTACATATATAGCTCAGTGAATTGTAGAGTGTAGAAAGCCAAGGCAACTACAAAGTTCGCTGTCGAAGCAAGTGACAAATCGGAACATGAAAAGACGATCTATACAACAGAAGAAAGAAACCAGCATCATCACATTAAGGGATTAGACGGAGAGACTTATGAAAAAAAAAACTGTAAAGGATATACCAAAATACATAAATATATACTTTGAGGTTTACGGGGACTTTTTTAATTTAAAGTTAGTATTCATCATGAGCTGACATCAGTTAGATAACCGTTGAAAACCTGGGAGCTTGAGACACCTGTTTCGTTCTAGTACGGGACTCTTCATCACTAGGCACCCACGACCCCGGTAGGAATCAAACTCAGGACCTTCAGGGCCTGCGGCGAACGAACTTAGCATTCAGTCACTGTTCCATAGTTTCCAACTTCCATCGATTGGCGATATAATGTGCCCATCGATTGAGGTTGGCATCGGCTTCACTCATTACTCAGTAACCCCATAGTTGTTTGAAATTGACCTTTATCGCTAAGAAACGTAAATTAACATCGAAATTGTCGTCTCGTAACAAATCTTAGAAGAGATGAACTGCAATGAGCAAATGTCACCCCACTCACCTATGACCACCACCACCATGACACAACTAAGGTTTCTTTAGAAGAAAAATAAAACCCATTGTATCATTACTTCAAGCAATCTAAACACAGTTCTCCCAAATAAGAACAAAAATAAAATTGCTATATCACATCACTGACTCAAGTTTCAGGATAGTAAAAGCAGCCAGCCAATATCAATGATATATAATATGATCATACTCCTTTTCGTTATAAAACTGTCGACCGTAAGTGATATCACCATCAAGAACACAAAATATTTGAAAACACACATATATAAATGATCAAAATAAACCAAATGAATCCAGAAATTGAAACAAGGTATCTTCTGACTGCCTAATGGAAGATTTTTCACATAAAACCTCTCTGAGGATATCTATTAATTTCACCCTACCAACGTTATATTGTTCATGGAGTTGTGACCCATTGTTTTAGGCGTTTGACTTTCCACCAATAGATGTCATAAGTTAGAACATTGCTCTATATTCCAAGGTTCAACAAACCCGGAATTAGTTCCACTAGGAAAACAGTACTATCTTTTAACATAGATGATTCTTAAAATCCTATGAATAGTCATCCATCATCGAACATTCATAGGACTTACGATCACTTTTCACCGTTATCCAATGTAAACAAACAACATATTCTGAAAATTTCAATATTGTTCCACATCTTGAACTGTTAAATATTTCTGGACCAGAAAACCAAAAAAAAACGAAAAGGTTTTCTTTCAATCGGATATCAATTCGTAGTTTCTCATTTCAGTTTCACTCAACGACCTGGTCTGGTTTGTGATGTCCCCAAACTGCCTTCTCAGTGCAGATGGCCAATCCGTCTCTGTTGAGCGACAGTATCTTGGTTGGTTCGTTGCCAGCCAGAGTTCACCCTTGCTTATTGTTATTATTCCGACCATTTGTTCTTCAGTGTTAGTATCCAGTGAGCGTAGACGGCAGCTGCTGATGTTGTCTCTCTGAAGTTTGTTGAAAATGTTTTGAGTAACGCGCCAAGTTTCTGAATCGCATAGAAGCACTGAAATGACGTTAATGTTGAAAATTTGAATCTAACTCTTCATGCTGAGTGTAGTGCAGTGCAGTAGATCTCCACACCGATTTCAGATTAATAGAGAAGGCCTGTCTTACTGTCTTTCCTATCCTTGCTTTGACATTCTCGTCTGTGCCGCCTGTAGTTGAAACGATACTGCCTTACCTGGGTAGGTGAAAGAGATAACTTCCTTCAGATTTTTCATATTGATGGTGATTGGTGCTTGTTGTTGTTAGTGGTGGTGGTGGTGGCGGCGGCGGCGGTGGTGGTGGCGATAGTTGAGTATCTTTTTCTGTCACCTCTGTCTTATCTTCGTTCACCTGAAGTCCCGTTTTCGCTGCCTCTTCTATCAACTTGTTGGTTTTTGCCTGTAGATCTTCGAGTTTGTGCAATATTAGACATAAATCATCGTTGGCAAAATTCAAATCTTCTAGGGTCTTCTCTTCGGTCCAGGTGGCGTATGCTCGTCTTCTCACTCCTCACAGTTGGTTGCATGATTAAGTCCATCACAATCACTTTTTTTACATAGTATTTATAAAATCTGAAAAAACAATGCTAAATTTCTACTCAATTGAGCCTAAGGAAATATATGATGAGAAATACAAACACATAAACAATAACATACACATACACAGTAACATATATTGTGTACATATTCAAACGATCAAGAAAAACCTACTTCGAAAGCAATTTGACGATGTCGTTTCGAGCAACGTAATGCTAAATCATATCGTTTTAAAGCAGTATAAGCATTTGCCAAAGACCAATGAGCTCGTCCTTCACCGATACGATCAGCCAGTCCACGAGCAATAACCAAATGTCTCAGAAGAAATACAACTGCAGTTCCAGGATCTCTTAGAAGAATATATGTATTTCCTAGACTGAAACATGCTTGTGCTTGAAGTGATATATCCTTTAGATGGATTGATAGTTGTAATGCTTCACTAAAGAGGAAATTAATAACAGCGATAATAATATCATTGAAGTAATAATTTCAGTACAACAAAGTTGTTACAATAGTGAAATACAACACGTTCTTTGGAAAACAATAACAAGAGAATATGAAACAATTAGTCCCCTCTATAAATCTCCATCGTGTAATTAGAAGACGAAGCTTATCTGAACAATGTGTGACATATTTGTGCAATACACATTTCAAACAATCTCATCACACACATTGACTTGTCAAGTCCCTTTATATATTAAACCGAAGAGTTGGAGGACAAATATAACAACTAACATAATATTATATTATTATTATTATTATTATTAGTCCCTTGGGTTCCTAATGGAACATAGGACTTCAGTAGCACGTCTCCAGTGACCTCTGTTCTCTGAGATCTTTTCAACCTGGCTCCACGACAGTCCACAAGCTCTCATTTCCTCCTCGCACGATCTCCTGCATGTCACCCTCGGACGTCCAACTCGTCGCTTTCCATGGGGGTTCCACTCGAGCAACTGGCCTGACGCGTGATGTCCCCAGTCGGCCTTCTCAATGTATGCCCAATCCATCTCCACTTCCTCCTGCATATTTGTTGACTGATAGGTTCTTGGTTGGTTCGTTCCCAGAGCTCCTTGTTGCTTATTCTTTCTGGCCATCTGATCTTCAGTAGCCAGCGTAAGCAGTTGTTGATGAATGTCTGCAGTTTATTGGAAATCCCTTTCGTGACGCGCCAAGTCTCTGAATTAACATAATAAGGGATTATTAATTAAGAAAGATGAGAACAAACAGGAGGAGTGACTGACATAGTTGATCCTAATCTTGGTAAGAAAATAAAATTTACCAAAGTAGGTGTAGAGTAACAGCAAACTGCTTTTATATCCATTGGCTGCCTGATTGAACTTTGGGTTACTAAATTTATCTATCAAACATTTTTCATCAAATTCTTTTCTTTCGATTTGTTTTCATCATTTAATTATGTCCTTTGAACGTATTATGTACTCTAGCACATTTTTAAACTGTTTTCAACTCTCAGTTTCTCCAGTCAGTAGAAAAGCAGAGAAAAAATGTTACGTCATATGGAAATGGACTTTTCTGTGTAAAAAAAAAAGTACATCGTATTTCTATCCATCAGATGATTAGCTTGAGTTGCAGATTTATATACTGTCTGACTGAACCTTAAGCACCGAAATTACGCTTGCATTACTGTAGATTCTTCATTATAGACCGAATGCAAATTGAGAATCAGCTGGCTATTTCACATTATTGCCTTCAATACTGTTATTATTAACATTATTCACATGCAATAACCGTTCCGTCTGAAAGTATTGTATTCTAGGAGTGAATTAGTAGAAAACGTACATGCTGAGAATTCCATCCTGTCATACATATTGTTTGGAGTAAAGCGACTCATATTATTATTATTATTATTATTATTATTATTATTATTATTATTATTATTATTTTAGAAGTAGTATTGATCATGGACTGACATCAATTGGGGAACCATTGAAAATCTGGGAGCACTGGACAGCTGTTTCGTCCTAGTATATGACTCCTTAGCAGTGCGCACTCACTACCCGGCTAGGAACTGAAAGAAATCAAAGATGACATTGAAATTATCAACAAAAGGGTAACGAAAGCGAAGATGTAGAAGCCTGATAATAATCTGAGAGAAGTTTAAGGCTAATAGTGGTTCACACTTTTCGTTTGCCCACATCGTGAGAAGTACTATTGGTGGTACATGACCGCAGAACCTATGAGTCACCTGCTTAAGGCTGATCACACAACTTTTTGGAAATTCGACTTTGACTCGCAAATCCAAGGCGATGGATATGCTATTGTTACTTCTGACCTTTTCTTATCGCCCTCATCCCATATTTCCTATTATAGGAAAAGAGATATCATCTGTGGGAAACACCTTACTGTTGCTACATCCCATCCAGCCAGTAGTATGCCTTCGAACTCCATCCCCATCCCCCACTATAATGTAGCTTATTACATTATGAAAAAGACTGATTAAGTGAAGAAATATATTCCTTTTCAATTAGGTCTTCGTCTTAGGCTCCACACTAATACATAGTTTTACAGTTTAATCAAATTACCAGTCAAGTGGTGATGTTTTAGAAATAATGGCGTAAATCATCAATAGCGTTACTAAAGTTGGAAATACGAAGCAGGTTACTCCCAGGAAAATAGAGTGATTTTTGATGAGTCTTCAGTTATAAACAATAAGCGATTACGTAATAATAAGAAAAGAAATGAATAGTAATAGAAACAAGAGAGGGAAGAGGTGTACAAAGTAGTCCTAGAAGTTACATCGTGTTGACGGCCAGGGTAATGAAAGTGGTAGAATAAACTTCTTTCGAATACAAAGGTTGAGTTTGCTTGTAAAGGTGCATTGCAATCGATTCTGCTATGTGAAGTAAGCACGAGTGAGTAATCCATATGATAAATTAGTTGGAATCTGATGGATGATTTTCAAGGCTTTTCTAGTATCCACTTGATACCCCATGTCAACTAAGTACGCAAGTATGGAGCTCTTTATTGTTCTAATTTGTTCCTTGCTCAACCAAGATGAGTGGTGCTCAGAAATTCAACGATGCACCTGCCTCATTGTATGCCCAATATAACTAGCTCCATAGGAGCAGTTGAATTGTATATAGAAGTGGCAGAATCAGGCAGTTTGTCTTTATTTCTTGCACCTAGAATCATACCGTTGTAGAAGATGGGACATAACCTATCGTCTGGGAAGGCTTTATGAAAGACTCTTTTTATGCGCTGTGTGATGATCTCACTGACAATATCACTCTTGAATTTCAACCTCAAGAATAATTGTTTCTTAGGAAATATCGGCGTTCTTGTCTTAACCCTCGTAATATTCATATGCTTAGTTACAAACTTCTCTGGGTAGCCATTCCTACCAAGTAGATCACGGATGGTGGCGCACTCTTCCTTTATAGCATCATCTAAGGAAATAGCTGTGGAACGGTATGCTAGGCGTTTCACCAGGTTCCTTTTGTATTGGAGAGGTACGGCACTAAAGAACAGCATGTATTGACCTGCCGGTGTTGGTTTTCTATATACACTTCGTTTCAGAGTCCCATCTAACCTTCTTATCAACAGAACATCAAGAAATGAGATACTGTCATTTTTCTCCTCTTCCATTGTGAAGTTGATTGCCAGATGAACACTACAAAACTTATTCAGAACAGCATTCTTATCAGTCTCACTTCTGAGAACTATAAAAGTACCATCCATGTAACGATTATATAATTCTAAACGGCTAATAGTTTCGTTCAGTGGACCATTCTCTAGTTTTGCCGGAAAAAATCTGCTAAGAGTGGGCTAAGGGGTGACCCCATAGCTACACCATCAGACTACCTGTAGAGTTCATTGTTCAAAAGGAATTGTGCGTTCATTGTACACTTTAGAAGTAGTACTTTCAATGTGGTGACTGAAATACCTATTTCCATGCCATGCTTCTTAAGTTCCTCGCAAATAAAGTCTACTGTCTCCATTAAAGGAATGTTAGTAGAAAGAGATGAAACATCACACAATATCATGAACTCATTATCTACTTCCAGATCCTCAATCTTTTCAACAAATTCAAAGGTATCTTTAAGACTGTATTTTACAACTTCTTTGTGGAGAGGCTTCAAGAGTTGTACCAACCATTTTGCTGTTGTATGATACGGAGAGTTTGTAATGTTGGTATTATATCACTATGCGATAGACCTTTGTGGTAGGACAGAATCTCAATGCAACAAACTTTCCCATCAGTGTAGTAGCTTGTTATATCATTCTGGTATAGCAAGGTCGACGAATACATCAAAATAGAGCCCATCAATCGAATGCCTTGTTCCGAATATATTTTATCGTATATCTCATTACCGCGTATTTCAGAACACCATTTTATTGCTTGACTTTATTCTGTTTCTTTGGTTCACCTCTCATTTAATGTACTGTTTCAAAATATAGGAACAAAACAATTTATCTACATGTTAAATCTTGTCTTCACATAAAGCTGACAATCTCACAGCTGTACACATGAATAAGGTTCCTAGCAATGATGAATTTGAATTAAACTTCTTAACCTATAACGTAATTTAGAAGAATAAAACGATTAAAGAAAGGCTACTTAGTGGCAAGAAATGGAATCCAAGATGCCCATTTCTTCCTATTTAGGACTTGTCAGCTAGATGTACATACACTTCAGTGGCTATGTACACCTTAGTGAGGTAGGCAATGGGTCACACACACACACACACACACACACCAATAACAACGTGAAACCTAACTGTCTAGACCTCAAAAAGGTGGAATGGAATTCGGACTCATGACCTACTCTCTTTGGAAGTTGAATGACTAAAGTAATAAGCTATACTATCACTAGGAGAGATAGACAATCTTACCGATAATGTTCTACAGCTGAGTTGAAATCAGCTAAAAATATGAATGCATTACCAATGTTACTATGAGCACGTCTTTGAGCAGGTAAATCACCGTATTCTTTTGCAATTTTTAAACGCTAATGAAGGGAAAAAAAATTTTGAAAAATAAAACACTAACATAGATAATAACAGTTAATGAAGAATATGAGATGAATTATTATTATTATTAGTCCCTTGGGTTCCTAATGGAACACAGGGCTTCAGTAGCACGCCTCCAGTACACTCTGTTCTCTGAGATCTTTTGAACCTGGTTCCACGACAGCCCAGAAGCTCTCATTCCCTCCTCGCACGACCTCCTCCATGTCGCCCTTGGACGTCCAACTTGTCGCTTCCCATGGGGATTCCACTCGAGGGCATGGCGCGTGATGTCCTCAGTCGGCCTTCTCAGTGCATGGCCAATCCATCTCCACTTCTTCCTGCATATTTGTTGCGTGATAGGTTCTTGGTTGGTTCATGAGATGAATAAGTGATTACAAAATTTTTTTTATCCATCATAGGAAACACAGTGCACTTTATTCAAGTAAACATTACAAAAGTACTCTTGTATATCAGCAAAAAAGGTTTGTGAGAAGACGAGGAATTTGAAAATGTTCCTGTTGCCCTTGGGACACTAGCCAGGCAGTTTTCACCTTCCTACAGTCAAGAACTTCATGAACTGGTATCACGTTTTGCTTTGACCACCCTGATCTTTGTTCCAATCCAATCCTACGTTGGCTAACATTGTGTATGTGTGAAGAAGGTAGTTGATGTTTCAGCATGCGCAGTATATTCTCAAGCCATCTCAGTTGAATAAACTCATCGACCGACTTACTTGTGTTGTCTAGTACTCTTCGTTTAAACCTTGACCTTATTTAAACGAAGGGACTCACCCATGTTGTGTACATCTATGATGTGGCCAATAAGCTACACACCTACCTGGTTAATCAGGGTTCTAACTCACAATCCACGGTGATCCTAACTTACATGTGATTAGAGTTCTCATAGCAGCGAATAACATCGTGGACGATTTAATGTACAAAAAAACAATACATGAACAGATAAACTGACTTAAATTGTTGGAAAAGTAGAATAATGCAAAAGAGAAACTCTATACAGTGTAATTTTATACAATTAGTTCCCTTTAAAAATTTTGTACAGTAAGCTTCTGCTTCTGCATAACGAATTAGTCTACTATTTTCTTTGTCTATTGATTACCTTAAGAAATATCTATGTTTGAATCGATGGCATAATCCCTATCGAGTATGTGCTTGCCAATGGCTCTGCTTGGTAGCCTTCCACCTCTCAATGAGAGGCTTTTCAGGATACGTTCAGAGATTTGTTTAGTTAGGAACCTCTCCGTTCTTCCGATATACATGTTACTGCAAGTACAGATAAACAACTGTTACTATCACAGCTGGATAAGTTAGTGCGATGGATATGTTCAAATGGTGATGATCCTGTGAACTCAATTCATCACTTTTGAAGGTTGGTAGTCTTATGAACACATTCTTTCTCGGAAAGGTTGTATCATTCAATTTCTCATTTATAGGTTTAGAGTGTTTATTGATGAACTTTATGCGATATCCATTATCTAACAAAGTTTTTGGCATAGTATCCAATTCATTTTCTATGAATTGCTTGGAACATAATCACCTGATACAATCTATTGACTAGTAAGTGAACAATAAACAGAGATATGAAAAACTATGTGAAATTGACGCTGGTTAATATTGGTAACACTTTAATGTAACAATAAAATAAGGGGCACACAAAACAGTGTCAATCGCAGATGTGAATAAAGCATATGGTGGACAATATTTTTAGCTCAGGTAGATGATTTTGGTTGCATTGTGTTCTCTGAGCTGGGTTGTTTAGTCGTGGAGCTTTCATTGTCTTACTAGATGACATCAATATTTCTCCACGAGTGATTTAGTTTGTCCTGACGAAGTGGTCTGTGATTGGTTGTTTCCTCCTTTGATTGTTATGTCATTGACTGAATAGATTCCCTAATGGCTGTTCCTATGCTTAACCTCTCACTTTTCTGTCGTTTATCATCTTTCTCACTGTTTTGATAGATTGGGTTTACATCTATACGTCTATAGATTGCAAACTGAATTGAATGCCAGGCTTCTAGGAATTTTCTGATATTTATTGTTTCCCCTTTCTGTTCCAAATGTTTACACTATCGAAATTCAATTCATTTCCATCATTGTTATCCATGTGTATTGAAAGGAATGACGAAATGTCGTGACATTTAACAGTCCATTAGTGTTCATGTAGACGAAGGTGTAGAGGGTGACCATTTTGTCCAATGTAGTGTTGACTAGAGTTATTGCAGTTGATTTTGTAAATCATATTCGGTTTGTCTTCTTTGGTTATTGTATTCTTTGGTCTGTATAAGTGTTTGAAGGGAATTTTCTGGTTTATGAGCCACATCAATGCAAAATAGTCTCAGTAATCTTATCGTGATTTCTGATGATGCGTTTGTTGATTTCTGTCAATGACTTTGTAGTTGATGATGTACGAGATAGGCATTTTCTAATAAAGTTTAGCGGGTAATCGTTCTTATTTAGAATAAACATCAGATGATTTTCTTCGCTTCCCTGTGAAGTTGTTGTATTGCAGTATGTTCTCGCTCTTCTGAATACTGTCCGTATGCAACTAATTTTGTGCGTTGTTGGTTTGTTGCTACTGTAGTTAAGGATTTGATCAGTGTGTACTTGCTTCCTGTACACCTGGGTTTCCAGTTTTCCGGCATTCGTCCTACTGACTAAAACATCCAGAAATGGTAGTTGGTTGTTTGACTCCTTCGCCATTGTGAAAATGATGTCATTGAAAACGCTACTGATCAAACTCTGAGTGTTTTTTATGTTACCTTTATTGATGATGACAAAAGTATCGTCCACATAGCGAGTCCAAATTTTTGGTTTAATCACAGGTGGAATAATGGCATCCAGTTTCTGCATCACTACTTCTGCAATTAGTCCCTCAAAATAAAGCTGCTCAAAATCTCAGAAGCATGCACAACCAAGGGAACAAACAACTATGTTGCCAAACTTATCGAAACAAACACTAATCTCTTGAAATGTACTAGGTAGGGAAGACAAGTTCACCAATAGGGATTTCAACCTCCATAGACAAAGGCGACTTGAGCATGTGTTTCACATCCTAAACCACAGCCTAGATCTACACATAATGCTAGCTAGGATTCAGTTTGAAGAAAGCTCATAGTGGTTAGACCAAGTCTTCGACTGTTGCTGAGCGAGATGCTTGAAATAACAGGAATCAATAGTTGAAAATTCTTGATGGCTTGGCCAACAATCGGTCACAACGGCGTTCAACTATTCATTCTTTGATATCTTCTAAAGAAGTTGGAATATTTTCACTAACCTACATTTTCAAAGTTCTTTTTTCGCCTTCCATACACTTTTGTCTACTTTGATATGAGTCCTTTGTCTGTCGACTTGTTCATTGCATGATGCTGTAAAATGTGACTTGAATTGATGAAATTCTGTGCGAAGTTCTACATTGATTTTCACTACATCAATCAGCAAAAAAGTGTAGTAGTATACAGAAAGATAAACTTTTCAATTCCCCTCTCAAATGATACACTATTACTCCTCCAGGAAAGTATTTTCATATATACGTGGCAGCTAACTACTGAGTTAGTTAAACTTTCAACCAAAACACTGAATAATCGAACATTGTGACGTCCATGGATATTTGAATAACGCATAGCAATGTTAGTAACCATATAGTATGTATACTTCACAGTTTACCGTGTAATAGATAAACCTGGGTGGTTTCTGACTACTCAAGTTCATGAGAGTTTTGTCTCAGAAATCCTAACATGTAATCTAAACTGCAGAGCGAGGGATTGTTTCCAACACAAACCCTGCTGATACTTAACAGTTGGGCAGTTGAAAAACTCCTCAGTTATGAGAAACGTAAATGTGAATCGTGCAGTTTGCAGAATATTCAGCCACATCAATCCATACAAACCAACATAGGACCAGGCATTACTGAGTCACAATCCAAATTGCCACATACCTCATATCACTACATCAAGTAAACAAGGAAGTCACGTGAAACATAAAGAATACAAATTTCAATCAAAACAAATATGAACCACAAAATGAGAGAAATCAAGAATGAAAAAATGCTGAGATTGGGTAAAGCATCGTCAAGATGACGATAATCTGTGTGTATACATGTGAAACTCACATCACTTCTCAGCCATGTAACCACCTACAGTCAGTCACTCTCCAACCACTGCTTCCTCTTCACCCACCGAACCCAACCACCTAGTCTGCATCGCCAAACATCCCTCGAATCAACACTCAGACACTTAACACATTCATAACATCTTTTAGTCTCACCGACAGCCAACAGCCCTTATCCAGCCTCAACCTACTCAACCAACATTGTGTGACAAGGCAATCGCCAACTACGCATACTTAACACATGTCCCAACCAACCATCTCACTCAATGGAGCTTCACAACCTCATCAACTCATTCACATCTTCTCCCTAAAACTCTACACCCACACCTACACCTACACCTACCTCACTTCTGCATCACTCACTCACATGGTGACACCACAGAATATGGCCTACACAACGAAGGCAACGATGGTCAAACACCTCAAGCCAGCCTTCTCATGTCTTCCACCTTCAATGGCCGTGTTTCACAACCATACAGTAGAACAGACTGGACTGCTGTGCAGTACACATGACCCTTAATAGACAATCGGATATCATGGCGGTGCCACAGGTGGTGTAGGTTGGCAAAGGCCAATCGAGCCTTTAGTATCCGTGCAGAGATTTCATCGGCCACTTACCAACGCACCAGGGCTGATCCCCCTTCACTTACCACGTAAGCGAAAAGGCCAACACACTCAGCCCACTATAGTTGAATAGGAAGAGGGAGTAGGCATTCTTGACGGACACCACTCGACGAGTACAGCTCCGTGGACATCTCACCATAGGCTCTAACATGCTCACAAGTGTTCGAGTAGAGAGCTTTCAATAAGGTGATGTACTTACTAGGCACGCCTTTCACTGGGAAACATTGCCATAAGACTTTTCGATTAACGAGGTCGAATGCCGACTTCAGGTCGAGAAACACAGCTATTTTAGGGCATCGGTAAGCGTTCCTATGTTCAGGACCTGGCGAAATGTGAAAATTCGATCGGTACATCCGCGGCCGGGTCTAAAACCTGCTTGGATTTCTGGGGCTTGCTGTTCCCGAGCTTCACTCAGACGTCGAAGAATTGTAAAACATACGATCTTGGACACTATGTTCGTCAGGCTGATTCCTCTGTGGTTATCACATGAGGACGTTGCGCCATTCTTAAAGACTGGGATAATCAGTGATTTAGACCAATCAGAGGAGATCGTATTTGATTTCTATATACTAGTTAACACCCGTCAACCTGACTAAGAGCACTCTACCACCATCCTTGTATACCTCTGGAGTTAGTCCGTGTGGTTTCACTTCCCCTCCTTATTTCAGGTTACCTACAGCTTTCTCGGATTTTCCTAGTGTTGGGGGGTCTATCTCAATGTTCCATTCAGGATCCGACTGGATAACGGGCAACACAATGGTGGTTAGAGGCCAGTTAAACTGCTCCTCGAAGTGCTCTGCCCATCGTTCCAGTCGTCTCCACTGCAAGTGAACCGCAGACCCGTCCTCCGCTACAGCCTCACTAACTGTTGTTGACCTCCCCCCCTCCATAGTTCCCTTAATAAGCCTAAATAAATGTCTGCTGCTACCAATTGCCGCTGCCTTTTTCATCTCTTTGGCCTTCGCAGCCTATCACTGTTCACGGTCGTTGCGTAGACTTTTTCTCAACCTACTTTTAAGTTGTGCTCGCCCTTCCTTGTACTCAGAGCCTGTAGGGATGTGTTTACGTGCTGCTGATATCCACTGGCTCTTTTTAGCCACTATTTCAAAGTCAGCTACAGTCTTCAGCACTGCTTTTACGGCAGACTGGAGATAGCACCAAGCTTCTTGTACATGAGTGATGGTGTTCTGTTTCGATAACTGCGTAGCCAATTTCTTACCGAAAACGGACTTAATGTTTTCGTTGTCTAGCTGGACTGGGTAATGGTTTAGTCTATTTTAAGGTATACTGATCAATGTATACAAGTCAACTAGTCTCCTACAGATTCATTTGATCTGAACGTATTCGGCTGATGAGCTCGGTGAGAACCGAGAGAGATGGTCATTAGGTGTTTATATCACTTTGATCTGGTCGATGAAATCTACAGACAAGTCTCAGTTGATCCCAGCTACTTGTGTTATTCGATAGAAGTATAAAAGTGTAAGTGGTTAATACTTTATATATATATATGAATACTTACCTCTTTGTAACAATCAATTGCTTCAGTAAAATTACTCAGTAAATAATAAACATTAGCTAAACTGCCAAGTGCTCGTCCTTCAGCTGGTCGATCACCAAGTGTTCGAACTAATTCAAGGCTCATCCTAGAAAAGATAAAGTAAAAATAAAGATGCTTAGTTGAAAACTAGGCTATAAAACATTGTGAACAAATAGATAAGATTAAACTATGAAATGAATATAAAGTTCATTTAAATGGTAAACAACAATACAAATAATAAATACTTTTTCAATCAATTGATAAACTATCCACTTCACATTTGAAAGTTGTTTTAAACAAATGTAGAAAACGTAACAACCGTTGTGAAGCAATACAATCTCATAGAAGAAAATAGTTCAATAATAATAATCATATACAACTAACTCACAAACTTTGTAAAAACTTCATTTACTAAACTTCATGTTTCATATGCCAAATATATGCGTTCCTATGACTACACTACTCAGTTGTTCTCGCTGTCAGTAGATTGGAAGGGATATGAAATTAGTACCTATACTCTGATGAAAAATATTGTGAAAGTTCATTTAAACAGATTTGTCTAACTCACAAGTGGAAAATTTTTTTTCTTGAAATAATCATTTCAATCGTTACTTATTAATACTTGTAATCTTCCATTGGTATACCCCGATAGCATTGATCCTAGGTAAATACCTCGGATACTCTCCTATATATTTATTATATTCTAACCTATAGATGACTAAATCAAGTTGGGATTTGATAGTTTGAAGAACATTTGAGCATTAGGATAAATAAATGATACTCATTATTTTGTTTTTATTTCCTAATAAATGTAAAACGAAAAAAATTTGTTTCAACTGACGTTCCTTTGTCTTCTTTCTTCTTCATTCCCAACACGGTTATGCAGGTTTCTTTCCATATCTCTTTCAAAAAGTCCCAGTGTTCATTCATGCAGGTTTCTTCAGCGATCTTGCTTAATATCTCCCCTTTTGTCCTGATGACTGATGTGAAGATGTTCCTTGTAGTTTTGTCCTTCACTTTCCGTTCTGGATGTTGAACTCGAACTGTCGTCTATCATCAACTTCTGTGAAAGCTTTCAACTCGATTTTGAAGGTTCCTTGTACTAGATAGTAATGTGAACCTACATCTGCTCCCCTTCTGGATCTCATCTTGTATCCAGTAGGCTGCATCTCCACTTTCTTCACATTGAAATGAAGTCGATAGGACTTTTTTAGTGTGTCCTGGTATCTGGTGAAATCAAATCCATGTCGCTTTGTGAATATCCTTGTGTTTAGACACACTGCCTCCAATCACCAAATCGTTGAATGCACAGAAGTCTGCAAACAGTTCTCCATTCTCATTCATTTCACTGAGTGCTTCTCGACACATGATGAGTTCTCTACCTGTATTATCTGCTCCCAGTTTGGCATTCGGGTCTTGTCCATTACTGATTACAGTTGTCTTGATCTGCATTGTATGATTGTCACTTTTTTCTTTTAAGTTGAATCTTGTTGTAATGAACCTGATCCTGCATGAGGAGATTGGTTTCCACTGCATGAGAGCCTTTGATGCACTTGGGCACATCGTAATAACCACTCCGAAACTCAGTGTGCTCATGCTTTTCGTCTGGGTGACAATATCGAAGTAGATTATTGACTCTCTAGTTAACAGTTGGGAGAGTCCACCTTCATTCCATCTGGTCTCGCAAATTCCTAGCCTAGTAATTCTATGCTATACCTTCTCATCTCTTTGGCAATTTGGGCAGCCTCGCCAGTCAGCTTCAAACGTGGTGCGGACATTCCATGTCGCCATGTTTACGTTTGCTTTCATCGAGGGAGAGAAGATACATCGGTCAATTGGCTTCCTGAAGGCTTTCACCAACCGGCGTCATTTCGTCTCTCCGATTCCAGCAAGGAATAAGTTTAATTTTATTTTTTCTTTGTCCTTTGAAGTTTCTTTAGCGGTTAGATTGGTTTTACGGGGTAGAGTTGCTAGCCCTATGCCCAAGCTTCCCTCTTTATCCGGGCTTAGGAGCGGCTAGTAACTTAGTGAACTAGTTACCTAGGGGATGTTGACGTTTCACAACACATAATCGTAACAGCTTCAAAGTGAATTCAATAACTCCGAAGGCTTCTATTACTTCTAGTCTTTTAAGGAGAGCACACACCCTAACGACACATGAAGATAAAAGAGTTAAGGAATAACAAGATGTAAACAAGATAGTTAAAATGAATAATTATCGGGTAAAATTCATTCGCAAAATAGAAAATAATATTAAATTGCATCATAAAACTACCCCTAAATCATGAACCTCAAGAATAGTCATCCCTTACAGATCACACATACATCCGATGAAATTAGGAGAGTGGTCAACAGATACAATATCACAGTGTTCTACAGAACATCAAACATATTGAAATGTACCTTAGTTCATTTGAAGGAAGACATCCCTCTGTATTCACAATCTAATTGTGCCTATAAAATAAAATGCTCAGACTACGATGTAATATATATACGTAGAACAGACTTCCTGTGAAATCAAAATTAGGAAAAATGAACGCCAAAGAGGTTCTACCCGACCCCTTTGAAATCCACCAGAGCTTAAAACATTTGAAAACCCAATCTCTACACACCACAATTTCAGGTCATAAAGTTGATCTTGACAATATCAAAATTATTCAGAAAGGCTTTAGAAATTACAAAGAACGTCTCACAGCAGAATCTTTTCATAGAAAATGGAATCAAAATTATTTAAATAGGAATGAAGGAGTAAAACGTAGTTTGATCTGGTATCAACCAAAATTCGTACATACGTTAAGATCTATCACCACATGTACACATACAAATCTCAATCTATAATTCATACACTCCTCATACACATAGAATACCCTACATATGGATATTATCTTTATTCTACGATTCTGTCAGCGCAGAATCCTTCATGCAGAACAACAGTTGTCAAGTCATCATATATAAGTTTGAGGGATATTGTAAATTCCATTTTACCATAATTTTGATAAATAGCCAAACGTCAGTTAAAACAAATACCCAAAATAATGAATACTATAGTAGAATCCAGTATGAGCGTTTCTTCACATTCGAGACTCGTCAGCTGGATGTACCTGCGCTTCAGTGAGTGATATTGTCCCCCCCTGGGACTCGAACTTTTCAGTACCCGTTGCTGTGAACACACAAAACCGCTTATCCAAGTGGCCACTGAGGAGGTATGAAAGCCACCTCGTGTGCAACCAGTATCAGTTGTTGTTGAAAGACAATATATGAATCATCTTCTGATAACACAAGAGAACTTCAACAAACCTAAGTACATATCCCCAATAGGTTTGAAAGATGTACACAAATCAACCGTCATAGGCTTAGCGACAAACAAAGGTAATCATTCACTTTACTGTTGCAGTCATTTTGGAATATGCTCTGTAGCTATTACTTTCATATATCGAAGAGTCTTTTCAGTGTTTTATGTGATCACACATAAGTACATGTAATCTGATAAACGCAATTAAATATGATCTCACTGTTCAAATGTTGTGAAAGTCTACAGGCGTGTATAAGTTTCATTTCCTTCACGTTATTTATTCATTTAGTTGTCAAACTGTGTGAACCATTGATTTACAATGGGGTGACATATACACCTTTCATTGGAAATGAATGAACAGTAAGTCTTCTTTCTTCTACATTTCTATCAGGATTCATAAATTTCAAACGATTAGTCCGTGTTTATACCGAAGTCGACAGAAACTATGATAATTTACATACTATCCTATCGATGTAGAATTCTTACCACCAAGTTATGAGAATATTCTTTGTTTATACTAGGTGATGATTGAAGATGAAGTGAAAATTTAAATCGCGATGGGATTCAAACAAGTAACCATCAGGTTTCTGGCCCATTGTTATGAGGAACTTGTAGCTCAGTTGGTACAGCATCGGGCCAGATACCCAATGGTCGCTGGTTCGAATCCCGCCACGGTACAATTTTTCATTTCACCTTCAATCATCACCCAGTATAAATACTGCAAGTCTACCAAACAACAGCCATCTCAATTAGTCAAAATGGCAATCAATATTCTTTGTTAGAATTCGTGTAAATATACGTGACAAGTAAATGTATGAACAGATTGTTCAAAATGTCCTGAAACGCGATAATATATCACACTTCCCAGATAAACTATATATCCCTACTATTTTATCAAAAACAAATTTTGACTTAAATTTCAACTAAAAATCACTTTAACTTGGTTGTGGCTACCACAGGAATCCAGAACGTGAGTTTAGAACTCATCAGCTGGATATACCTAACCCCCCGTGAGTAATGTTGTTCATATTGAGACTCAAACCGCGTACCCATAACTACAAATGCCAAAGCGTTATCCACCAGACCATGGAGGCACGACAGCCACCACTTGTGCAACCGGCACAACTTTTTTGTGATTTGTTGATATACTTGTAATTCGCCATTGTTTTTACTGGATCGAACTGTCCGACCTCTACTGGTACATGGGCTGCTATGCCAATGCCTCAGTATTACCTGAATGTTAATAATGGTGATTTCTTTGGTTAAGAACAATACCATTGGGGCGCAGATACATCCAGCTGAAGAGTCCCAAATAGGACGAAACGCAGGTCTGGGATTCCATTGCGAGCCACTACTCATCACTACTATTGAGTCAATTTTAGTCAAATCAGTAGAAGTAGCGGGAATTATATTATTCTTGAAATAGGAATCCATGGAAATGGACATCAGATTTCAACAAACATCCTTCGTTCTATTAAGAACTTATCTATTATGTCTGTCTGCATCCCTATAAATATTCAAAGAAAAAATAAGACAGAGAAAAAATCCTCTTTTCGATGATCTCAACGCTTATTAACAATAGTGGACATTGCCAGTTTGATTATTTGAGATAAACGTGGTTTGACAGAACAGTATTGATACTGACTGATGATTGAGGGTGAAACAAAAGTCTGGACCGCGGCCAGATTGTAACTAGCTACCATTGGGTTTCGGCCCGGTGCTATACCAACTGCCTACAAGAGCTCATTTCTTCCTCACACGATCGCCTCTATGTCACCCTCAGACGCCCAACACGCCGTTTCCCATTTAGCGCC